TTAATATTTCATGCAACATATTTAACATACTAAAACCATTCCCACATTTTCCCAAAGCCACACAGACCTTTCACTTTTCCTTTATATTTATAAATGCACTGTTCAATTATATTGGGCGCAGCAAAGCATGAACTTCTCCAGAGTCTCCCTTTAATGTCAGTAAACAGTAACAGTTTCCTTGATAAAATCTCTAAAATAGGTCTGCGCCAGGAAGGTGCATTTGTAAAAGAAAATAATTCATCCTTGGAAAGGGAAAAGGACATATTGCAGGTATCTAACTCTGAGAAAGCATTCATCGCTCTGATACCTGCAGTTTAAGATTGTTTGATCTGTGCAGAAAGTGCCGTTCAAGGATAGGTCCCAATTATGGAGCTGACACAAGTTAACTACCTGTCTGCAGGAGACCGTTCCAAGGCTCTACCTTTTTCATGTGTCCTATTTCATATCAGGCCTTCATCTGCATGCTGCTCTGCTTGCAAAGTTAAAAGCTGAAAATTACAAATGCAGACTTTTAAAAACGGCCTTGTGTGAGAAATCTGAATTCACACTGTGAACTCCCGGAGCTGAGCCTGAAAACCGCGAGCTGTATGCGTGTGCGGACTGCACTGTGGAGATGAAAGACTAAGGAGGATGACTTATTTGTCCTCTGCCCAACGCCAACTGGGTAGGATGTGAAAACCAGGTAAGAGGAAACACAGAGGTCTTGTCCATAGCTCCCAAACAAGCCCATATTTATTAAGTCTAATCCCACCATTAGATGATTAAGGAATCAAAAATCTAAATCTAATTTAACATGCTCTACTTTCGTTAGTAAGTCAACCCCACTGTGTATAACTGTCCCTTTTAACCTCTCAGTTGCCAGGCTTGGCCTGCCTTGTGTGATATTATTATATTATTGTCTGAGCTTCATAGTGTGATATCACGACTGGCCAGCTCCCTTGGGTAGGAAGGGGAAAACTCACAAGACATTTGACTTACGGGGGGGGTACAGGATGTATGAATCCAAACCTACATGTAATATAAAGATAAGAATCTCAAGTTCACAGAGTAGTCAACTATCTAAGGTCCAGTTTGGTAACATATTGAATGCATAGATCTTCCACTTTGCCCGAGGTGTCATTTCTAATTGCATTCTCTATTCATGTAATATAGTGGTATTAGAGTGGACCAATATTTAAATGAACCGTCTCCTTCCAGTGTTTACCGTGATGCTAGGTTCAGATCCGAGCGACACCCGGGACTGCGCGATCGTGTGCTAATGCACATAGCAGTTGCCGTGCAGCCCTATTGATTTCAACGAGGTGACATCCGCGCAACAATCGCTTTTTTTTTTGCGACACACAACACATGGCTTTTTTTAGCCGCAATCGTGTTCAATTGTAAGGGAGGGATCCCGCACAATCCGCGCGACGTGACTGGGGTGCCATTACAAAATAAAGGCGACCACACCGTGATCGGCTGCAGTGGGCGACTCCGTGACCGCCCGGCAATCCGCACGGTCAGGAGTCGCCCAGGTGTGAACTTAGCCTGAAGGAATTTTAACGAGGCTTTCACATTTTTACATGCTTGTTCTTAGATCGTTGTATTAATTATAAAGATTTGAAGATTAGCCACTAGAGGGAGCTTGGCATCTCTCAGTGAATTATCAGGACCATTCACTTACATTGTGAGAACAGTAAAGCAGTAAAGCGCAACCATTGTGTAGCACTATAATGCAGGAAACAGAACTTACATACGTAATCAACATACATGGCAGCCCCCCATGTACAAAGCAATTTCAAAATACAGCCAGAAAAAAAGGTTTGCGTGGTGTGGTGTGCTGATCCTACCATTCAAGGCATATTTCTGTGTTAGGCCCTTGCCATTGGTCAAGGCACGAGGTTCCTGGACTGTATCCAAGAAACACACCTGAGCCACATAAAAGGGAACTTTTAATATGAATGTGTTTGATCAGTTATTTTATTTCTATTAAAGTCAGTGCGCTCTTTGTATTTTGAATATAGGTAATTGGTAGTCTCCAGGCCATTTCTTAGCTGCACGAGATGTATATAGTGAGCTGAGTGGACCAATGTTCCCTCACTTAGTCTGGTTTTATTTCACCAAAAGGTCTTAAAGAAGAATTGCAGACAACCGAAAAATTAACGCTTGCAGTGGAGCTACTCCCTCACTGCAAGGGTCAACTGGTTTTTTTTTGTCTAGGGCCTGGAATAAAGAAGATATAATCACCCATCTCCGGCCCTGTGGCAGTCAGTGCACAGCTCTCTCCCTCTCCCTGCTCTGACAGTGCAATGCCCCTCTGCATCCTCACGTCTAAGTGGTCCTTAAACCACCAGAACCCGAGGGAGAAGAGGGTCCGGGGACCGGTCTTGCAGCCAGGCAGGATCAAGGATCAGGTGAGTGTATTTTCTTTATTTTCGCCCCAAACCAAAACGAGCAGTTAAACTCTTGCAGTGCCGGGGTAGCCCCACTGCAAGGGTCGAATTTTCAATTGCCAGGAGTTCCAGTTAAGTTGCTCTTTGCTCTCTTGACTCTTCATTTTAACCTTGGATTGTTCATTTGGACTAGCACAGAACAAGCAACTAACCTACATATGTTCCATGGATTGTGTTATGACCGGTGTTACATTTATAAATTTATGCCAGTCATGCAAATGTGCATCAGAAAGGATGTAAAAGACTTCTTCATTTATTTTGTAGGAAGGACCAGCACAGTAATTGTTATCTTTAGGCTTATATTAGCTAACCCCCTTCTGAGAATGACAAAAATACAAAATACTTTGAACTGGTTCTCTCGGACAGCTCACCTCCCACATGTACACATTGTTCTTCACTTGAGACCTCTTCTTCTTCTCCCCAACAAAAGGTCCAAATTTCTTCCCTCTTGGGAGAGGCTTCCTGGACCAAACACCTAAAAGAACAATTCAAGAATGTCACATTTTTTCTATAAGCCCATGGGAATAATTTGGATTGCACAGCAAATGTATGGGGCTGGCAGCCAGGCGATCTAGGCAAGGACTGGGAAGTAGAGGTGCAACTAAATGAAAATGTCAAAATCGAAACAAAACCAAAATACATTTTAAAATGTCATGCCGAAACGGAAACCGAAAATGTTATTTATTTTAACTTTTTAAAATTTTTCAAATATTTTATATTTATTTTTTATAAACTTTTAAATGTTTTTAATTTTTATTTATTTATTCATTTTTTTATTAAATATTTTTATTTTTTGCTTTACTTTTAGGGGCTTTGGGGAAATATTGGGAGTCCTCTTATCTCTTTTTCTGCCCCTGTTATAAATGAACAGGAATCCTCTATACTGAGTGTTCCTGTTCATTCATAACATGAGGACAGAGTATGTTTACTATAACTACAATCATGAATGAACAGGAGGTGATGTAGATCACTTCCTAATTATTCAAAATTTAGGATATAGTAACCATATTCTGTCCTCAATTATGTATCATTGATAACTGATCACTGACTACTTGTACCTCGCTCTCCTTCCTGACACGCTGTCACAGGAGACTGAGCGAGCGGAGCTCAGCCTGCTGTGACAGCGCGGGATGTCTCCACCCACACATCGCTCTGCCGATCTGTGACAGTAGGCTGAGCGGTGTAGGAGGAAAGACGGCGGTCGCTCACAGCGTTCTCCTCCCGCAGCGCTCGGCCGCCTGTCACGGTTTCTCTCCTCCCCACTGGGACACAGAGCAGCACCCAGCGAGGAGAGATTAGGATGGATGCAACGCTGTATCGGCCACAAAATGGCACTTTCGGCATTATGCCAAAAGTGCCATTTTCAGACGATATGTTTTGGCGGCCGATATATATCGGTGCATCCCTACTGGGAAGGGGTAGTACTTGGTGGTTACTCTGATTTAAGGTAGGTGCACCAAAAGGTGCAGTTACGCTTTAAGGAGACCCTATCACCAACAATTCTTTACTTTTATCTTCAAAAAAATTGGAGATAAAAAAAAATCCAAAACAGTGTTTTCCTTTCTGTAATCTATTTTGTTCATTCACTTGCAATGTGACTTTCAACTTGCTAGAAAATTGGACTACTCCAAGAGATTCAATTTCCTAGCACAGCCCCAGTTCCCCCATCCCTTCCTGCGCATCACAACCCTCTTCTCTTCTGTGAGTGTCTGATTACTCTCTGTGCTGACTCGGGCTCAACGGAGGTCCATTTCATTCTCTGTTGACATCCATTGCAGATTTTCTTTTTTGGGCTTTTTTGCTAATCTTTATTTGAAAAAATATGTCCTGAGTGGACAAACTTTGTTTGCATGCATTTTGCACGCGTTGCATTGCCCTGAAAAAAGAAGAGCATGCTCTACTTTCTTTTCAGCACACTGCAACGCAGCAAGGTAAATTGGTCCCATTCACACCCGTACATTTTTTTGGGTTCCGTTCTATTGACATCCATTCAAAAAGGTAGAAGTTCTTGTATAATATTGGATGGAGCTGGGGAGACTTAAAACCACTGTCAGGTTTTTTTTGCCGTCCGTATTTCATTATGGAGATTTCCCTTCACTTCCTGTCCTAAAAACTCAACAGGAAGGTGAGGAAAATCCCATCCTAGACAGATGTCATGGAGTGTCCATATTGGAAGATCCACTAAATGCATTGGATCTCCTGGAACCTTCAATAAACATTCTAATACCTTACCATTCTATTCAAGTAATAAAAAAAAAAGGTTTTCATTTTGGTTATCCTTTAACAGGATGGCAGGATGCACACACAATCGGTCCACATACCAGCCACATTATGCCCTGGCTTAAAGAAGTCACGTCATGGTGACACACACCGGATCAACTACTCAGGTCACGATGCACATTTACAATAACAAATTAATTTCAGTTTAAATCATTTACCGAGTCTCAGCTTATCCACAGAAGACGGACAAAGAGTCACTTCCTCAGGAAGCCCCCTCAGCACATGTTCAGGCACGTCAGCCAATGACTCGGCTGCTTCTTGGTACTTTATTGCATCCTACGAGGCAAAAAAGCAAATAGAGATTCACTATCAACATATTTAAAAGAGTAAAATTATTATATCTATACATACACACACACATAGTCCTGAATTGTATGATTATCACCAGATCAGAAGATGAGGATCTGAAAGGAAGTGGATCAAAAAGCAAATGAGTTCAGGTCAAATCAGGTCGAATTTGCCCAAATGTTTCCATAGAACTCTCATGAGAATCAATTTAAAAATCCAGGTAATTATTGTGCATGAATTGTAGGATTCCCCATGGATCATGCAAGTTTGCAGATACATTAATCATCCAATTAACTCAGCTAAATACTGTATATTCTATGTGCATCAAAACAAAATGTGTGCAATGTTTTACAATTTCTTTTCTTTTAAAGGATCCACAGCCTGGGTAGACCACATTTAATAACCTGAGAACACTGAATATTTCCCTATTTTTTCACAGCCTGGGTAGACAAAGCCCTTCCCCTGCCAACATGCTGCAGAGAAAGACCCTTGCACCCTGTGTGGAAGTAGGGGTCTATCTGCAGAGGTCCAACATGCCACCTGCTGAGTCACACCTATCTCCAATCTGCAAAGATAATGCTCCCTGCTGATAAGAGAGTCCTAGCTCTGACAGGGGGCATGTCAGACCTCTGCAGAGAAATGATTACTTCCCCACAGAGAGCAAGGGTCCATCTCTAAAGCATGATGGAAGGGGACAGGAGCTGTGGCCGCTTTGTAAGAAAAACGAACTGTAAGACTTTGCACAGCTTTCATTTGAATGCACCTAAAATTAATTTAGCTTATTATTATTATACAGGATTTATATAGCGCCAACAGTTTGTGCAGCACTTTACAATATAATGAAGACATTACAATCACAATACTATTCAAGACAAGGTGGGCCCTGCCCGTGAGGGCTTACAATCTAAAAGGGAGGGGGAAGTGATACATGAGGAGGTAGCTGTGTGGGGATGAATTGTTTGAGAAAGTGATAGTTCAGTGGTTAGGTTGAGGTGGGATAGGCTTCCTTGATGAGATAAGTCTTAAGGGATCGCCTAAAGGCAGTCAGAGTGGGAGATAGATGGACAGGTTGGGGTAGAGAGTTCCATAGGATGAGAGAGGCTCTAGTGAAGTCCTGGAGGCAAGCATGGGAGGAGTTGATGAGGGAGCTGGAAAGCAGAAGGTCATTTGAAGAGCGGAGGGGACGCTTAGGGTGATACTTTGAGACCAGGTTTGAGATATAGCCGGGGGCAGAGTTGTGGATGGCTTTGTAAGTGATTGTTAATATTTTGAATTGTATCCTTTGGGCTATTGGAAGCCAGTGCAGGGATCGGCAGAGGGGGGTTGCAGACACTGAGCGGTTTGTTTGGTGGATGAGTCTAGCAGCTGCATTCATGATAGACTGAAGGGGGGATAGGCTGTGTAGAGGTAAGCCAATGAGGAGGGAGTTAAATAGTCAAGGCGAGATAGAACAAGTGAGTGGATGAGATTTAGCTGATTTAAAATAAAAAGTTCAACTGGGCTTTAAAGAAGAACTCTGGACAAAAGTGTTCTTAAACTTTGCAGTGGGGATACCCCCTTACCCCATGTTTTGTCTAGGTGCTTAAAAAAAAAAGTTATACTCGCCCGAACCTCCGAGCCTGGCTGCCTGCTACTTCCTGAAGCCTCTCTTCTAGAACCGCTACAGCATTGTAATGTTCCTCAGTGTCCTCACGTCCATTCACTGTGTATAGAACGCAATGATTTAGGGGACCTTAGACCGCTGCAGAGGAGGGGGGGCAGTTAAGCATAGCTGCCTTTTGGTCTTTTTCTGTATTTAATCCATGGCAGATATATATATATA